AGTCTGAACGGCATCGGCAACAAAATCGGCATTGTCGCTATTGTCAGACCAGCAGCCACTGCACTGCTCAACGTCCATCCACAAAGTGCCGAAAGTCACACCATTCTGTTGCAAGTAGCTAACAATCTGTTGAATAGCACTTGAGGCAGGGTTGTTACCAGAGCACTCTGGGCAAAGGAAGACGTACTATTTTTGGTGGGGGAGGTGGGGTCAGACTGGGATCATTCCGGAATGTGATCAATCAATCACAACTACTTACAATATCAACGATTGAGAAACCAGCAGCTTGGGCACCTTGGATGGCACCGACGATACCAGAGTTCAAACCGTAACCTCCTTGCCAGGCTTGGATGATTGCACGCTGGTTCTTACCTGCGAGACATGACCATTGTGAAGAGGTGATACCTTGTGATGTTGGAGAGTCCACATCGATACCATAGTCAGCGTTGACAATCGCCAACACTGATGCCAACAGGCAGAGTGCAACCAAGAATCTCATTCTTTATGTGTAAAAGTATACAAAGAGTAATAAATAGATATATAAGTATGTTATAAGATTGATTGATTGATAGATAGGAATGAGGGAAGAATTCAGTCATTGCCTGTCGACTATCTTTGCCTCAAAGCCTCAATCCTAAGATGGATATTGTGTTGGGAATCCCATCAAAAAAAAATCAAAAATGTGTCGGATCAGGCTTTTTCGAAAATATCTTAATCAGAATAGGGGATTCGTGGATACTTTCATCAAGATGGAATGGTCTTGCCCATCCAATTGGGGGTCATCTTGGTCCTCTATCCTTCAAGTTAGAATAGTTGATTGAACATTCATTATTGTGTACATTGGTGTAAGGTGTGTTACTACCCATCATTCGGAGGACGAGTGGGCGACATAATTCGAATGGTCATGAACTTGATCTTTGACTGACCAGGTAAAATGGGGAGTTTCAGCCATCCTGGGATGAGATGGATAGATATTAACTAACTGACTAGTGTGTTTATATTGGAAGTATGTTGAACTAAACAGACATTGTTGAATGATCCTATCGTAGCCACTTTAGACAAACAATCAAAATGATTATACCAAGTAGCAACAAGATGATGAATGTTAAGATGACCTTATTGGTCACTACTCTACGAGCCATACTGCTAATAACCTTCCTAGCAGTCTTAATATTATCATCAGTCTCTTCCAGCTAAAGTATTATAATAGTTATAGTTAATGGATGTTTCAATATTCGTATGACTGAAGTATATCATACCTTTCCCTTCATGCCCCTTAGTTGTTGACCTTGACGACTCATGTCCATCAATATACTCTCACCAATTATTTCATTCTCTGCCGATACCTGATGTGCCCTCATCAACCTGTCACCACTCTGATTGACAGTCTCGTAACCTCCTAACAGATGTTGTCTCTGGTTCTCATATTGTGACTAAACTGATTATTAGTTATCTCCCTTTGTTTGACCCGTTTTTGTTGATAAATAACATACTTGATAATCCTCTGGAGCATTTGAGAAACCATTGATTATACCATTATTGTTGTAGTTATCATTTGTTGATGTAGTTGATGCTTGTTGTACCTCTCTTTTGAATCTCTGTACATCAGTTTGGTACTGTTTAATCTTTTGTTGAACCTTTACACGTTGTGGATGAGTTTGGGAATTCCTTTCCATGTCATTTATCTAAATAATAATAATAATATTCATTATTAGCATTTACTCAACGGATTCGTTCATTCAAATTGGAACATACATATTGTATTGCTTCATTTATATCTTGTTCTGCTTCCCTTATTGCAACCTTCTTCCTCTCTAATAACAATGCTTGTTAATATATTGATCAATAGATATTATCCATATTGTTTAAACTTACCTCCTGTGAAATTGGGAAGTTGTTTAATCCTTCGGTTTATTGTACTGCATACATGATTATAGTTCTGTTCAATCCTGTCAAACTCGTCCATTTCTTTCTTTTCTACTTCTTATATTTATATACAAATAATAATGAACAAACTAGAGATAATATGTGTAAGTGATAATGATAATGATAGTGATAATGATAATGATAATGAAGCGAATAGAGGTCTGAGTTGTGTTTGTGTTTGTGTTGAAGTGTTGAAGTGTTGGTGGGGGTTAGAGAAGAATGATAGAGTGTTTGTGGACGTGTTCACTTTCTTTGTTTACAAGGAGGTGTAGTTCATTCTCTCAATCATACATTCATTCATTCATAGCTCAATCACACAAATAATGATAAGTAATAAGTAATAGTAACTTTATTGTATGTGATAGACTACCAAGCAATCCATGCAACTGGTCCATGTGGAAATAGTCGAACAAACAGTTTACGAATGTCATCCATGAGTAGGATGCCAAGTGCAAAGGGTAGTGGTAGCAGCCAGTACTTGATGGGCACGTCACGCGTCTGGAAGATGTCTTGGAATGGCTTGGCCTTGGTAACAATCAGTGCGATAACCAATGAGCATACCCAACTGAGGAATAGCCAGTAGTTGCGACGTTTGGGTCGGATGGGATCATCGGTGAACATTGACATGCGACGATTGCGCACCGACAATATGTTGCCCCACTGCACCATCACCAGCGCTATGAATGTGACACACGTACCAGTTGGCACGTAGATGTTGTTGAAGTCGTCTGCAGACACTTTGGCCCGAGAGAAATCGATGTTGCCGTAGGTGAAGGCCAGGTCATACCAAGAGAGGCCGGTGTACTCCTCGATGTACATGAAGAACAGGAACATGGACACGATTGCCATCATCGTGCCCATGAACAGGTAGGATTGGACGTAGATCCTGCCGGTGATCAGATGCTCCTTCTTAGTGTTCCTGGGCTTGAGTGAGAGCARGGTCAAACTCGGGCGTCTCCATGATCAGTGACAGGCATGGGAACACGTCGGTGAAGCAACAGATGATTAGCATCAGGAAGTTGGACAGTGGACATGGCACGCCAAAGAAGGAGTTGACGATCACTGGCATGATCTCGGACCATGAGCCCGCAGGCAAGAGGAATGAGATGACCTTTTGGAGGTTCTGGAAGACTAGGCGGCCGAGAAGGATGGCCTCGGTGATCTTATCAAAGCTACCCAAGAGTACGAGGTCGGCCGCTTCAATGGCCACATCAGTGCCCGACACTACGGCCACACCTACATCTGCTGCTTTCAAGGCTGGAGCATCATTCACACCATCACCAGTCACAGCCACGACAGCGCCACGCTTCTGGAGTTCAGTAACAATTCGTAACTTCTGTTCCGGTGATGTGCGGGCGAATACGATCTCTTCGTACTTGCATGCTGTGTCCCATCCGCGCTCGTCCAACTTGCTCAGATCATGACCAGTCAGCAACAAAGCCGTTTTCTTGCCAGATGTGAAGTGGGCCTCGGACGGCTCAAGCAAAAGGTCCTCATAGGTCTCTGGCTCACAATCAGTCTGTGTGAAGATACCAATCTGGCGAGCGATGGCTGCGGCCGTGAGGCTGTAGTCTCCAGTGACCATGAAAAAGCGTGCGCCAGCACGACGGCAAGTGGCGACGGTCTCCTCGATCTCGGGGAAGGGCTGATCCATCAAGCCCAACAGGCCAATCACAGTTAGGTCGCGAACACAAAAGTCCTCCATCTCTTTCTGGAATACAGCACAACCGATCGCCGACACAGGAGTGTAGAAGCGGCGACAGACCAGTAAAACACGCTGGCCAGCACGTGACCACTTTTGTTGGATGGCTTCAATCTTCTCCATGGCATCAGCATTGAATGGCTGCAGGGTGTTGGTCGCAGGATTGACAATGTCCACGCAGCGATGGAGCAACACATCAGGGGCACCCTTGACAAACACCAGATGCTCTTTAGCCGGCGCTCCAACTGGACGACCAAAGATGTTGATCGATGGGTCGTACTGCGGGACATCACCCTCAACTCGATGCATGGTCAGCATGAACTTGTTCCTCGAGTTGAATGGCATCTCGTACACTCGGGGGAATGAGGTACGTGTGTTGGTACGCACAGCAGATGCCACCTCCTCGCCAAATCGAAAGATGGCAGCATCGGTCGCGTCACCATTGATCTTGCGCTCAGACATGTCCAGCTCCATGGTCGAGGCGTCCCAGGTCGAGTTGTTGCACAGGAGTGCAGCCAGTTGCATCTGTTGGTATGCACGCGATGTTGGCGAGTGGTTGTTGTTGGAGATGATATCGTGGACACTCTCTGGCTCGGTCTGATGGTTGATGAAGCCGACCGAGGTAACAAACATCTTGTTCTGTGTGAGAGTGCCAGTCTTGTCCGAGCAGATCACATTGACGCAGCCGAGGGTCTCCACTGTGGTCAAGGCCTTGGGCAAGATGTTGCTGCTCTTCATTCTCTTGGCAATCACGAGGAGTGTGAGGGCCACGCATATAGGCATGCCCTCAGGTATGAAGGCCACAACACAGGACATGATGTTCATTAGCATGCCAACGGTGGTCATGAACTCTGGATGCTTGGGACGCAGGAAGCCAACCCATTCGATGGCGAGGATGGACACGAGGATGACGGTTAGGATCAAGATGATGCGAACGAATCGATTAATCTCACGCTGGATCAGTGTGACCTTCTCCTTTCGACTGATTGTCAACTTGTTGATGTGGCCCATTACCGATGAGTTACCAGTAAGCACGACAACTCCGATGCCCGAACCATTGACCACGTACGATCCCATGAATGCAACGTTCTTAGACTCGAGGAAGCTGACATTGGTTGGGACGGTCTGAATATGTACTGGTTTGTTCTCGCCTGTGAGCACAGAGTTGTCCACCTTGAGGTCACCCGAAGTCTGGATGACGATCATGTCCGCAGGCACTTTACTACCCATCTTCATATGGACAATATCACCAACCACGACATCACTAGTCTGGCCATCACGCATCACCAAACATTCAGTTGGCAACAGATCCAAGATATACCTCATCACTCTCTTTGTAGACCAGTCTTGGAAGGCAGCGAACGATGCTTGGAGGAAGATGACGAACAACTATTTGGAAGAAATGGAAGAAGAAGATGAATAAAGGGTAAGTATATTTGAATTGATCAATGTCCATGTGAGTGGGACTGGAATAGTTCCAATCCACTCCATAACAATCAAATGATACAAGTCAACTCAATCATGGTAGACCTAAGGAAGGTCCAAGAAGGCTTGAGGAATAAGACGACATACGATTAGGATGGCCAAGGCCAGGTTGGTGGTGTTGGGTGGGTCACTCAATGGTTGCCAACATAGGAGGAAGACAAGTGCACCAACCCAAAGGATACTACAAAAGCCACCAAATACATAACGAAGCATTATCTTCATATAGTTGGGACGGACATGATCAAACAAATTGGGACCATTGGTCTTTAGACGGTGGACACACTCTGGGGTGTCCAGACCAATCATTGAATTCGTATTCAATCTACGGCACAACTCGTCCTCATCCAACAAGTGATAGATAAGGCTGGCAAAGAATGTCGAGTCACTATTGGAGTCGCGAGTGGTAGTGCTAGGACGAGTGGGCATGGGGATGGTGGTGGGATTGGAAAGGACAGGGGACAAATTGGTGTTGGCAAGACTCTTGGAGAGGGAGCCTTGACTAATGGATTGGAACTCAGCGCGGAAGCTGTGGTCAATGGCAGGCACAACAACCGAATGGTCATTCGTTTTAATCTCTAAATCGATATCAGTATCAGACGGGTCATCCATGATCGTGGTCTGAGTAGTATTTTAGATACACGGTTAGAGGTGTGTCAAAGAAGAAAAGAAAGAGAGAGAACGAGAGAGTATGTGTAGAGGTAGAACTAGATGTAGAATAGAATGTTCAACTTTTACCCTCAGTATCGCATCTGATTGTTTGTCGGTCTGGCTCATCACCAAGGCCGACGAGTCGGTAACATGAAGTCGGGCCTTTATTTCCCCAAAACTACACTTTGTATTTGTGATTGTGGTGGGACCAGGGGAGTCGTTCCTCGTTGTTTTTATCTTGATGGACCTGGTGATGGTGATTGATCACACCCCGACTTTTAGACCAAATAATATTAATTTTATATTAATAGTTTATTATTAATCGATAGATTTATTCTTATTCGAGGTGAAGTTCATCATCAATCATTAATGTTTTATTGAACTGTTACAGTTGTTTAGGTATCTTAACTTTAATGATTGTCAAGTAGTAGCGTTAGAAATAAGTTTGATTATTGGTTGATTGATTGATAGTCAATACTTACATTCTTCTTATTTAAATATTGATTATATCTTCTATTTGGGAATATATGTGTTGCGATATTATTTAACCTTGATTCATTCGATTGGAATGTTATTTGAATTTGATTTGATAGGTCATCTCTGACTTTGGATGGTATAACTCCCATTCTTTAAAATTGATTTATAAGTTTTAATAAATAAATAATAAAATTAATAATAATTAATAAATTAAATACTAAACTATTCCTAGATTATAAGTTTGTATTTATGTGAAAGAGAGAGTAGTGAGTGAAGTGATTATTTGTTCAAATGACAACTTACAACCAACTACTCAATCAATCTTTGATTGGATGGTTTGGTTGGCCCCAACAAACAATCACGAAGCCTCTATATGATGTTGATGACATTAGTGAGGTTGAATCAATAGGTGATTGATTGATTGATTGATGGTGGGGTGCGACCCATGCATCTCCTACACATCCTCCTCTTTCCACCTCATGTCAATGGCTATTAGGCCAAAGCCTAGCCTATATTTGTACATAACAATAATACACACATATTTATCTTAACACCCATCCATCATTTATAATACATATAATAACTTGTGATGTATAAAAGTTAACAAACAATCACGTGTGTAAGTGTGTGTGTGATCAATTTGATTGATTGAATCAATCAATCAAACATAAACACACTCACTCAAGACGTTGCCTCAGTGCCCTTACTCGCGAGACCCACCTAACCTACGTGTGGTAACTCAATTGAGTGATGGTATGGATGGAGCCTGTATTTCACCTAATTAGGACCCGTATTACTTAAATGTGTGTGTGTATGTGTGAGTGATCATGTGATGTGATGTGATGAGAATGAACATCACATAGATGAAAGGTGGTGTTGGTTGCTTGCATCACTTGAGGAGGCGCCTTACCATCTGGTCTGGCCCAGATGTATTGTGAGTGTTTATGGAAATTGGCTGCCTTGTAATTGCCAATAACGACGATATATCATTCATTCTCTCTCCAGTTCCATACTTGAAATTGATTGATTGATAGACTGATTAATTGTTGGGTTCATCTTAGGGTTGGGTAGTGTTGGTCGGTTGGGTAGAAGAGGGGACGAGTTGGTGAACTTGGAGTTCGACAACTCCAAAGAGCCAACCAGTGCATTGCCAGGCCAAGCCAGGCCATACCAGACCAGTAACGTGTTGATGTACAATGTCGCATCATGATTTTCAGCACTACTATAGAGTCCTCTTTTGTTGTTGCTTGCTCTGTTGCTGAGGAATTATTATATCATCGCTATCATCATCAATCCTTCCTTTGTAGTTGAGTAGATTGTTGATGTAGAGTATCGACTTTTCAGAGAGTGGAGTTTTGTCACATTCGCCAGGCTGATCACGTTTGATCAATTTGCTCATGTCAACCTCTTTGCTCTCCTTGATCAATGAAAACGCATTGGTCGTGAGCATTTTTGGCGAGCCCAACAAGTGATACGTATCCAACATCTTCTGGCGTGTGTCGGCATTGCATTGAATGAGCAGTGATTGATGTTGCATGTCGAGCTGCTGATCGATGGGCAAATGATGTTGAAGTCGCAGACTTATGTGTTTGTTGAAGGGGCGACCTCCTTTGAAGCTCACCATGAACTGTTCCATAAATGGCTGCAGGCAATCAATGCTACGCAGCGCCAGGAAGATGTCGTAGTAGACGAACCTAAAGTCTTTGGTGTTGACCAGCCATGGGATGTGCTTGATAAGGTAGGCTTCGAGCTGCTCGAAAGAGACCGAAGAGTCGCCCTGCAGGACCTTGTTACCATAGATCATAGTGCCAACCGACACAAACTGTCGGCTTATGAACTTGTCTTCATTCTCCTCAAAGATGCGTGTAGCCAGTTCGATATTGTTGCGGTTGTAGGCACAGAATGCGCGAACTGCCACACCGATTCTCTCGCCATACAACTCAACGCCTTCAATCATCAGGTTGGAGATGCTCTTGTGGTTGTGTCCCTCATTGGGCACGGACATCATGTAGGTGAACAGGCGGTCGTAGCAGAAGGTCAGCTGGCGGCCGGAGGATGCCGCCCACAGGTTGGTGAGGTGACGGAATACCTTCTCGGCCAGGTCGTTGCGGCCCAGGTTGTACAGGCCAATGGTCAATTGGAACATGATCGAGTGGGACTCTGGATAGTAGTAGGTGACGTCAGAGTGGCGCTGTATCTTTTTGATAGCACGCTCGGGCGTCCTAGCCAGGGGCGCCAAGAAGAATCCTGGATTGGCTGCCAACAAACGGATATACTGTGGCGCTGAGTCGTCGCCCAGTATCTTTTGGTTGAAGTGCATTATGTAGTACATCATTGGGGTGTCCTGTGACAAGGACTCTGGCGTCGGATACAGCTTGTAGAGTGAGCGCTTGCCTTTCACTAATGGTGCTCGCAAGTCTATTGGATCGGTGAGGGCAAACGGCTTGGCGCCTACGCTGCTGTCTGGTCCCACCACCTCGTCATCGCCCTCCTCGTCGTCACCCTCCTCACCATCCGCCAGGCCATCATTGTCCTCAGCGTCGGCTGCAGCTGTGGCCGCGGCGGCGGCAGAAGGGTCGATCTGCTTCATCATTGTGCGCTGTCGTTCGATGCTCTCCTCGTTGGCCAACTTGATCATTGGACAGATGGTGAGATCGGGCAGTTCCTTGGCCGGGGATGCCATGATTCCATGGAGGAAGGCCCTCCAGTAGTGCGATGTCAGGAACTCTGTGGCGATATTGCCAATGGCGCCAGTTGAATGTATCTCGCCAAAGACCCGCAGACGCTTGGTGCAGTACAGCTCAAACAGACGGATGATGCGATGGTGCCTCACGATCGACTTGTGTTCGAGCATCAGTCGGATGAACCATCGCAGCGCCAGGTCTTGGCGGTTGATCTCCATGCAGATGGTGACGGTCGTGCTGAGCAGGCCGTGGTGCGGCGACGCCACGACCGCCGCCAGCGCCGACTCAAACAGCTCGCGGTGCATGGGCGTGTCCTTGAGCTGGTTGTAGACGAGCACCTGGGGCATCAGGTAGTAGGGGTACTCGGCCTCGCTCATGAAGCGCTGGATGAACTGCTCGTGCGTGTGGTTCTGGTGGGCCTGCTCGAACGCGTACTGCAGCACGTCGAGCTCCATCGTTTCGCTCATCTTGTTGATCGACTTGAAGCTTTGCATGGCTTGATAGGCGATGTTGAGCGTGACGGTGTCGGGCGTCAGCTTGATGCGGCGGAACGCGTTGAAGGTCTTGACAAAGTATAGTTCGTGGCCAATGTTCACGTAGTACTGCAAGAAGATGTTGGCAGTCTTTATATTGACCTTTGACGATGTATTATATAACAAGTGTTGCATTGTCGTGTACGTTGGATATATCTCACTCCTCCTCGCATCATACTCTTCATAACTCTCTACACCACCTATCGTTCTTGTTGACATTGACTGAAGTAGTGTCTCAAGTCTAGACTCGCGAGTAACATGTATTGTTAGTCATCGGTACTCATTCATTCATTCAATCGATTGATCAATGATTCAAACATACTTTCGATTGGCTTCATCGATTGACATCTTGTTGTTGTCGAGTGCAGTTGTGATTGATTCGAATGTATCTTTGGGAGAGATGATGTTTGAGAGGAAGCTGAACACTGAGTAGTGTCTGAGTTGAGTGGCAGCGTCACAGTTGGTTCCATTGATTCCACTATTCATACTCATCAACAATATAGTTGTTGATGATGTTGTTCTCGATGATGTGTTTGATTTGAGTCCATGTCTATGTCTAGTAGTCAATGGTAGTAGGGAGGACTTCAATATACATTGTGTTGTTGCTGTTGTTGATGATGATGTTACATGTCGTTGTTTGACAACCAACGATGATAACCTATTCATTATGTTTGATTGATTGAATTATACATATAACATGATAAATTCGTGTCAAATTAATGATTGATTGACTCGGTCGTCATTCGTGTCAAGGGTCCACCATCAATCATGATTAAGTTTACAAACATCCAATCAATCATCTCACTCACTCATTCATTTATTCATTGATTAAGATACAATGGCGATCAATCAACTGATTGATCAATGATGGTAAGTACCTAACGCAGCAGTAACTTCAAGGGGTATATCACAAAGAGATATTATCACTCAGTTGTTATTGGATGAATTGTTGAAGTGCAGTCACTGAGAGTTAATAATGCACACAACACTTGTTCATTGCAATGACAATGAACCCCTTAGAATGAAAGAAAGGACAAGCTTATGTGTGTGTGTGTGTGTGTGTGTGTGTAAAGGTCTGTATCTTTGTTAACACCTCACAAGCGATTACATGATCCAACTTGTCGTGAGTTCGCGACCATTCAAATAATTTTCATTATGACAACCACTTAGTTGTGTGTGTTTGTCCCAGGTAGATTGATTGATTGAATGAATGAACAGTGTGTTGGCATGATAGATAGTTTAGTTGTAGTTTTATTTATTGTAGTTATAATTATATCTTTTAAGTTATATATATATATATTTAAGAATGAGTTTTCTAAAGTCTAAAGTCAAGGATGGAGTTTCAAAGATAAAGAGTGGCGCTACAAGTGTTGCCAGTGCAGGTAGTGGTGGCAGTGGAGGTAGTAAAGAGCAATCAAAGTTCCAATTCGATATAAAGATTGGTTCAATTGATAATCTACCAATAAACTCTGGTACCGTATCAGTACATTGGAAGCGTGGATCAAAGTCATCAAACAATGGCAAGACGAGACCTGAGCCTGTAGAGGATAAGAGTGCAACATTCGATCACAATATACAGATGATCACTACATTGCTCAAGACTCCAAAGAAGACCTACGAGTCAAAGAATGTCAGCATATCAATCAAGGAGGAGAAGGGCAAGAAGGCATCAACACTGGGCAAGCACATCATCGACTTGGCCGACTTCACCAGCTTGAAGGATGAGCAGCGCAAGACACTCTCAATCAAGCCAAAGAAGGGCAAGAGTACATTCACTCTTCATGTAGGTATCACTTCTTGCCAACTCTCATTCAATCACTAATTCCTCTACCCTTTGCATGTCATAGATGAGCGTCAAGTGCACAGAACTACAGATTGGCGAGAATGATGAGCCAGCAACAGAGACGGACTTGAACTCTAATGATGGTTCTGATGATGTATGTGTTGAAAGTTGATGTTGCACTCCAATCAATCAACTAATCAATCAAACGATCAATCAATCTTTAGGAAGAGGATGTTGAGGAGTTCACAAATGATGAGGTGCCAAGCGAGGCCTCCTCTGTGTCATCACATAATCATCATACAACATCATCAACTCCACCAAGTACCATCACCAAGTCAGCTTCATCCTCATCACTATCAAGCTCAACATCATCCAATGCTTCCTCACCAATGCCCAACAAGGACAAAGAGAAGGAGAAGGAGTTGGAGAAAGAGAAGGAGAAAGAGAAGGAGAAGGAACGTGAGCGTGAGAAGGAGAGAGAGAGGAAAGAGAAGGAGCGTGAGAAGGAGAAAGAGAAGGAGCGTGAACGTGAACGTGAGCGCGAGAAGGAGAAGGAGAAGGAACGTGAACGTGAGCGTGAACGTGAGAAAGAAAAGGAGAAGGAGAAGGAGAAGGATAAGGACACAGAGAAGAGAAGGTTTAGCTTGTTGGGTGGAGGTGGATCATCATCAGCTGACAAGAAGAAGTTGGAGGAGTTGGAGAAGCAGGTACAGGAGCTGAACAAAGAGTTGGACACAAAGAAGAAGAGGATCAAAGAGTTGTCCGCGGAGAATGTCGAGTTTGAGGACAGAGTCAAGGAGTTGGAGGATCAGGTCAAGTCAAGTTCATCGACAACCACCACGACCACGACATCATCGTCGAATGACGCCGAGACAAATGAGCGTCTTCAGGAGAAGGACGATGAGATTGAGTCATTGAAGAAGGAGGTGCATCAGTTGAAGTTGGATGTGTCGCTGGCCGCCACGGGTGGCGCGATGGTCGGTGGTGGCACGCTGGAACTGAAGCGAAAGATCCAAGAGTTGAACAGAGAGGTCAAGGACAAGGACGAGATGATCAGCAAGCTCAAGAATGGTGGATCCGCGTCGTCAGGCTCGTCCTCACCGCCAGTCGCCAACGACAAGGTCAGCGCCTCACTCGAGAAACAGATCACCGAACAGAACAAGACCATCGCCAGCCAGAAGCAAGAGATTGAGCGATTGACTGCATCGGCCTCGGCCGCCGTGCTGGCCTCCAAGAAGCCGGCTGCAGTTGCCGCGACAGGCGACACCCCGGAGGTGGCCCAACTCAAGAGAGAGATTGTCGAGCTCAAGGACAAGGTGTCGAGCACCAGCAACGAACTGAAGAAGGTGCAAGAGCAACGTGACCGCACTGATCGCGACTTGGACGAGGCGAGGGAGAACCTCAATGAGGCCAGGGAGCGCGAGGAGGAGCTGCGCAGGAAGATGAGCGACATGGACGACGAGATCGAGATGCTCCAGAACAGGATGAACAGTCAGTCTGTGAGCGCTGCCAGTCTCAGCATGGGTGGCGGCGGAAAGTCCACCGACAAGAACAAGGCCGACAAGCAGCTCAAGGAGGGTCTGGAGAAGCAGTTGAACGAGCTCAAGAGCGACCTCAACAAAGAGAGAGAGCGCGTCAAGAAGTACGAGAAGGAGATCAAGGATCTCAAGGACAGGATCAGGTATCTCGAGCAGCAGCAACACTCCTCCTCCACCTCTTCCTCGCCACCCACCAGCGGCAATGGACAATACCAAGGTACAGTTGCCAAGTCCGAGGTGCAAGACCGCGAGGAGAACAAGATCGTCGATCAATTTATCCTAAGCCAATCACAAACATTCAAGGATGGGTAAGTCTCGCTCGCTCACTCAATCAATCAAACACATCTGGAACCATCCCGCTCACTCACTCAATCAATCAATCATACAGTATTGGTACATGTGCACAATCATTGTACAAACACTTGTTGGATCAGCATGCGTTTAGCAATCAGAACTCAAGACTGTTCAATAAGATTATCAACTCGCTCAACCAGTCGATCGAAGGATCAATTGGAAACATTAAGGATCTTTGTTATTGGATTTCAAACACATCGTCATTGATCCATCTGATAATGGACGGTCCAAACAACATTGACAGTGAGAGCGATCCACTTATCGACGGAATCATCATCGAGGAGCAAGATCCATCACACAAGACACCATCGACCAACTTTGTCTCGCAGTTGAACGAGCAATGCAAGCTTGCCTACTCAATCCTCTTGAACGACCTATTCAACAAGATCAAGCCACTTCTCCGAACAGTGCTGAGCCAGGCCAGCTCACTCGACCGAAGATCGTAAGTCATTCATTCATTCAAAGGGGGATCGTCCACTATCATGGTCTAACCATCCCACTCAATCAATCAATCTAGGCAACCTCATGCTGGACATGAGCTGGCAGAGCTGTGCAAGAAGCTGGAACAACACATGTCGTACTTGAAGGAGAACTTTGTGTTTGACTCGATTGTACAGCAGTTCTTTGCTCAGACATTCCACTTTATCTCTTACAGTCTACTATGTCAGATCCTGGACGAGACCACACCAAACACCTGCACGCCAAGTGCCGGCTTCAACATCAAGTTGAGCATCTCCAAGATTGAGGACTGGGTGTCCACGAACGATGAGCGTGACTTGCTCAGCTACAGCCGAGAGTACTTGGGCGCCATATCTGACGCCGCCAATCTAATGGTGATTGACAAGTCCATCTTCACTGACACTGAGTCCATCCAGTCGGCCTTCACCACGCTGAACGTGCGCCAGATTCGCAAGCTGTTGGAGATCTGGAAGCCCGACCAGCTGTCGCCAGAGCCCATACCAGCACATGTAATATCAATGTCCAAGACTAATTGGAATCAACCGGTTGCCAACCTACCACTCACAGTGGATCCAGCTACACTCATTGCCATCATACCAAACCTTGATGTCTAAGTCAAGTCGTATCCACATCACACATCAATCAATTCTGTCCCATAAACACACACGACCATTGACATCAAAAGTCATCCTTGCAAGCTGTCCCTCTTTTGCTTTGACTTTTGATTTTTTTTAATTATTTGATGTTGAATGAACTTGAGGGTTCATGATGATCTCAAATGGACCCTTTCATTTGAGTTGAACAACACAGATTACTTAACTTCATAAATATATATATATCATTATACAATGACATCATCTACAATTGGATTCGGAGGCATTGTTAGCAGCTTCTTTGAGAACTACAAGGCAGCTACACCAAAGAGACTCAAGATTATCGATCTCTTCTTGGTATACAACTTCCTGACAGGTGTCTTTGTCTTTGCCTACTGCTGTCTGGTTGGAACATTCCCGTTCAACTCCTTCCTCGCTGGTTTCATCTCTTGTGTTGGAACATTCATTCTTACAAGTATGTCGAACGAAAATACATTGAATGATTGATTGAGCGTGACTAACTTTGACTTTGAACCAAACAATATAGCATGTCTTAGAATCCAGGTTAACCCAGTCAATCACTTTAAGAACATCTCTGTCGAGCGATCATTTGCGGACTACCTCCTTTGTAACCTTATCCTCCATTTGGTTGTCTTCAACTTCCTTGGATAAACTACTTAATCAAAGCAGCAACAGCAACAGCAACAAAAATGCGAAGCAGCAGATAAAGTAAATGTCAATATAGTAACGTGATCATAGATAAATATTATTGGATTAGTTTATTTAGTTTAGTAATGTATATATTTATAGTTAATTGGCATTGGATATATTCTTGTTCAATGGATTGAATTGCTCGGTGAATCGGTCGACACAACCATTCCTTATCCTCTCACAGGTGGCAGGTGATGATAGGTCGAACCACGTGTTGCCATCAGTACCCTCACGATCCTTTCTAGCACTGGCAATAGCCTCACGAATGGCAAAGTATACGGAACTGCCAAGGAATAATGGTGGCTCGCCAACACCCTTGGACGAATGGATAGCCTTTGGATTGGGTGCATTGCTCAACAGTGACACGTTGAATACAAGTGGCACATCGTTGAAGCCTGGAATCTTGTAGGTGGATGGTCCTCTTGTGAACAGGTATCCGGTGGGGAAGGTCACCAACTCCTCGATCGTGCACCATCCCACTCCCTGGGTGAAGGCTCCCTCCACCTGGCCAATGTCGATCGTAGGGTTTATGCTGTCTCCAACATCCATCACAATGTCAGATCTCAAGATCGTATGATCTCCAGTGAGTGTGTCCACCTCGACCTCCGAGCATGCACATCCATAGCTATAGTCAGGGGAAATAGTTAGTCTTCACATTCGTTTGGTAAACTTTGCTCAATGTCGTATACTTACTTGTAATAGTTGAATGGTACACCGTCTCCAACTCCATTGTCTTTGAATGTGTAGCCAACGTTTGGTGTGGCGTAGAATCCGTTGGCACTCAGGTTGACACGGTCGAGGTATGCAATCCTTACCAATTGCTCAAAGGACATTGTTGGATTCTTCTCACGGAATGGTGCCAACCTCTTGTTGATCTGTTGGCATGCATCCAGCACAGCCATTCCATTCATATCGGATGAGACTGAGGCAGCTGTTGGTGAAGTGTTGGCAACCTTGTCGGTGGAGGTCTCTGAGATGTATATCTTGTCAACTGGCACACCTAGTTCTCTGGCTGCGATCTGGATGATCTTGATGTGCAGTCCCTGACCCATTTCAGTGCCTCCGTGGGTGACCAGCACTGAGCCATCAGTGTACACATGCACCAATGCACCGGCCTGGTTCAGCACCTTGATGGTGAAGGACATTCCAAACTTTGTTGGTATAATGGCAATGCCTCTCTTCTTCCACTTGTTCTCCTGGTTGAACTTCTGGACTTGTTCCAATCTCTTATAATATTCACTCTGCTTAAGTGTCTCGTCCCATATCCTTTGCAACTGACAGTTGGTAATCTGTTGATGGTAGTGAGTAATGTCGTTGTCTTTGTAGAAGTTCAGTTGCTAAGTATGATTGATTGATTGGTTAGTACCTGTAACACAATGATCATGGTCATTGGATAATGTTACCCTTATCTCGCTTGATGGTCTCTTAAGGTAGTGAGCAATCTTCTCTATCCAAGTCTCACAGACGAGCATTCCTTGTGGTCCACCAAAACCTCGGAAAGCAGTGTTGGAAGGGAGGTTGGTCTTGCACAGCTTGCCAACCACTCTGAGGTTGGGTACCTTGTAGGCATTCTCAGAGTGGAACATAGCACGCTCCAGCACACCACTGCTGAGATCGAACGAGTATCCTGCATCGGCAAACAATTGGACATCGGCAGCAGTGATCTTGCCATCCTTGCCAAAGCCCAAGCGGTAACGGCCAATGAATGGATGTCTGAAGCCTGTGATCACCATGTCAGTGTCACGATCAAGCATGATTCGGCATGGCTTCCTTAGTTTTTGGGCGGCCAACGCACAGATGCAGGTGCTGAATATGTTCCTGGTCTCCTTGCCACCAAAGCCTCCACCTAGACGCTTGACCTTGACCACCACTTGGTTGGCGGGGACGCCTAGCACTGAGGAGAGGATGACCTGCGTCTTGGTTGGGTTCTGAGTCGAGGTGTGCACCATGAACTCCAGGCCCTCACCTGGAACGACGAGGGAGGCATTGGTCTCAAGGTAGAAGTGCTCCTGTCCACCGATCTTTAGCTCGCCCTCAATAACATGGTCAGCCTCGGACAATGCTTTGTCAACATCTCCATCGTTGATCATGCGCACCATGTTGAGGTAGGAGTTCTTGGCGATGGCATCTTCAATGGAGGTGATTGCGGGAAGGTCCTCGTACTCGACCACAACAGCCTTGGACGCTTCCAAAGCTTGCTGATGAGTCTCTGCGGCAATCACACCAATTGGATAGCCCATGCACAGCACCTCCTTTGAGGCCAACAATTCTTCATCATGGAAGATTGGGCCACAGTCATTCTCGCCAGCAATATCCTTGGCCGTGAAGAATCCCTTGACTCCTGGCATTGCCAATGCTTTAGTAGCATCAATGTTCCTAGAATGGGTTAGGTGATGGATGTTAGGTTTGATCACTCTTCCGTAGTTCGTGATCTATCAAACATACTTGATATATGCATGCGCCTTTGTTGAGAGTACCATGGCACATGAGTAGGCCATTGATTGGATATCATCGGTATAGATGGCCTCGCCAGTTACCTGCTTGTCAGCAGAGTTGTGCTTGATTGGCATTGTGACAGGCTTCATGTTTCTGTTATGAAGATGTTAGTCTTGAGTGATCGTTTGATTGAATGATTGAGTTGACAAACATACGGTTGGTATTGGTAGTTTTGCTCACCGCTTGACATCTCCCTCGAGTACTTCTTGATGGCTGATTGCTCATTCTCTCCAACCATGTACCTTGGATCGTTGGACACGGAGTAGAGCTGATTTGACACGGTCAGGAAGTACTTGAAGAAGAAACTAGTGGTCAAAGATCGTCTGTACTCAATCATACCACCGGGTGCACCCTGCGCCAAGGGCAAGTCCTTCTCCAACGTCTCCCACACCTTGTCAAGGATATCTCGGCTCCAAACTGTATCCTGAAGTAGTGCCTGTGTCGAGGGTGCTGTGACGGCCTTGATGTTCATGCCTCCATAGGCCAATGTAGAGTCCTTGATTGTGAACTGATTGTTATCGCCACGCTCCAATCTAACTCTGAAGCAACAGCTCACAATGGCAATGTCGTCATCCCTTCTCCTGGACTGTTTGTAGGCTTCAACGTATTCATACTCGGATGTGAATGGGACAAATATCGATGTGAGTATCTCCTCTGGCTCAATGTCCACAATTCTATACGCCTTGAAGAATGATCCAATATTGACCTTCCTCTCTACCTGGTTGTCCTTGGCATCCCTTGATACTAATGTCAGGACTGCACCCTGTATTGGAGAACATGTTAGTGTGATTGATTGATTGAATGGATGAGTGGAGGACTTACAGCAGCGAGAAGTACTGGGTTGATATCAGAGATTGGACTGGCTGTTACGAGGTTACCACCTAGACATGCAGCATTCCTAATTTGGTTGCCAGCGAACCATCTTAGTTGAGAGAGGATCGCTCTGAATGTACGAGTCTTATGCTCATCTACTCTCTTGCACAGATCATTCAAGTAGTATTTTATCTCTGTCAATGTAATGGCTGATCCAATCTCTATTCCATTCTCTGTTTGAGTGATCTAATGATTGAGTGTGTTAGTGCATGACATAGTGATTGATCTGATGGCTGACTGGTTGACTTACATTATGCAACTCACTGATCTTTGTTGGACTGATGATCACTGGATAGACTACATTCCTAAACTTGGTCTCAATACCAATCTCTGTGTTTCCAACAACAATCTTGGCCTTGGGGAACTGTCGCTTCAGCTCGAGCAGGTGTGGGAGGGTGGTTGGAGTGTACCAGGTGACACGTTCACCTCGGAACTGCAGAGGACCCTGCTCATAGGTCTGAAGGAATGGTGGGAAGATGGGCTCAGACTTGAGGTCCAAGGGCTCGGATGGAATGTGCGAGGATTTCTTCTTGCAGTCACATGGTTTGCCAGTGCTTGGACAGATGCCCTGCTCTGATGCCTCGGCATCCTTCAACTCTATCTGTGCAATCTCTGGTAGTTTGGTCTCACCATCAATGCCAAATGAACGGGCTGCATCCAGGATTGGTCGGTAGCCTGTACATCTGCAGAGGTTACCGTCGAAGCTCTCTTCAATGTCGTGCTGAGTGGCTTGGGGATGCGAGCGCAGGTAGGAGTACAGTGCCATGACGATGCCAGGCGTGCAAAAGCCACATTGTGAGCCATGTTGATCAGACATACGCTGTTGCACCGGGTGCATACCGTCCTTTACATTGCCCAGTCCTTCAATAGTTGTCACTGCACATCCAGCCGTAGCACAAAGTGGAAACAAACAAGCATTGACCGATCTATGATGTATCTTGCCATCAGCAAAGTGTGACAACATAACAGTGCATGCTCCACAGCCACCCTCACCACATCCAAGTTTAGTACCAGTGAGGCCTTTTAAAGTATAAGTCGCGAGGTAAGTGATTCATTCAATCATTGATTGATTGATTCATTCATTCAATTGACTTTCATGACATACCTGCAGTTGATCTCAAATAGTGCAACAGAGTATATTCTGGATTTGGGTCTACAATTGATACCTTGTTTCCATTTAGATAGAATACAAGTGTATTATCATACTTTGGTGCATCCATCACTTTATATATTTCTTGTTGATGTTGATGATGTTGTTGTAGTATGTCTATGTATATGTAAATATGTATATGTATAAATATGTTTAACTTAAGATGATAATGATGTATACATTGAATGAGCCTCAAGGTTGACGGTTGGCTTTGTGCCCAACAAACATTGCAGCTCACTCACACACTTTCATATGGAGGATATTTATGGTAATAATTAATTTCAATTTAAAATTACAATTGATGAAGGGGTGTGGTTACAGACATCACCAATCTTATCTTGAACCTTTAGTTATGCCCACTCCAAGTCCAAAACTTATAAATATAACTTCAAATAGATAATAATAATTATTAATATTTAATTACTTCCTTTGTTTCCTTTTTCCAATGTTTTCATTATTTTTGGCCAGCTCTCTCTTTAGTTCTTCAATCTCATCGGTCAATGACTTGATTTCCTCGTCCTTCTTGGTTCTGATCTCCTCTGTTTGATTAATTGATAAGAATTGGATCGAAGGCACTTCACTTTCTTTTAAATTTACAATCACTGCAAGACAATGCCATTCGTTAATTGATCTGATCCTAGCCTCCATTCCTCTATTACAAACAATAAGTGTTTTCAATCGAGGCATGCACTCAAAGATGTTCTTGGAGTAGCCAAGAGTTCTCTCTCTAAACTTGACAGCATTTAGATGGTAATTGTCAAGATTGATATCAATTGTTTTCAAATGTTTGGCTATTGTTGAACCTTTTATCTTTTCAATAGTGACACTGGGCTTAATTGATGTGGACCCGTTTGATACTTTAACTAGTTCAACTCGACAATTGAATAGTCCTATTTGTTTGAAAGTACCAACAGACAACTCCTTCAGCTTTCCACTAAACTTGACATTGTTCTTGATATTCTTACTGATTGTTAAATTACGAGAAAACTTTGAAGGGCGTCCCGATTTGACGCGGTCCTTGAAGTCTCCTCGCTCTCCGTGTCGCTGAATAGTCCTGCTCACTGTTGATCGGGAAACATCAAACATCTTTGATATTAAATTCTTTGAATATCCTCTCGTCTTGGCTGCAACTATTCTTGCTCTCTCTGCTTCTGTTAATGACATGATTGATAGTTATCTACATAAATAATATTATATCTCTTCCAACTTAATGTTTGATGTTTGAACACATTCATTCATTTCCATTGCATAAATAATGGACATGTTCATTACTTCAACTAAAAAACTTTTTGTTTGATTGGGATAAATTAAATCCTTTTTTGGAAAGATACTTATAAATGGAAATGTAGAAATAAAAGGTTACTACTATATTTGGAAGTGAACCAGAACATAGTCCCAAATTGGTATGAGATAACACAATAGTACCTGTTCGAGGAGGGGGTGTCCATATTTATAACTATGGCTGACAACGTTGTATTTCCAACTGCCCAAGAACTCGCTGACAACTATGAGGTGATTCTAGATTGGGTCCCTGACCGTGCTAGAGGGCCCAACCCAGTCAGGCCAACATGGATCGTTGACACAAGAAACGGTTCTGTGATTCGTTATCGTTCTCTCAATGGCGGATCAGGCAACCAATTCAATGGCACACGCCAACCAGGAGCGCAAGGAACCAACTCACCGACCTACAATCCGACGTACTTCAGAGCCTACTCCAATGCGCAACACCAACACCAGAATCACAACTTGCTCGCAAACTTGGTCAATGCACAGGCAGTTGTCCTCCCACCACCCCAGGCAGTCCCTGTCCCAGTCCAAGGTCAAGAACTCGCTCTTGCCGAGGCTCCCGTAGCCCAAGGTCAAGAACTCGCTCTTGACAATGACGTCGACGTTCTTGGTGCAATGCTAGAGAGGTTCTTGGTTCTGAAGCCGACCACTGTTCTGGATGCCAAGATCATTGTGGCCACCGAGAAGCTCAGATCTTTGATGGTTGAGAGACTCAACATCGATGGAGCAAACATGCACTAGTTCTGCGTCGCCATCTCTTGTGCCGTCCCAAGACCTCAACCTTGCCAAGTCCATCCACCACAGGTCCCCATTACCCAGTGCTCAGCCCCTCGTGCTCCAGCAGCCTCTTTTCCTGATCCACAGACATTGCCATTAAACATCATTCTTTGTCTCTCCAATGATCAATGCATCCTCCTCTCTTGCTTCCTCATCAAGTGTCGCGAGATCAACTTGCCGCAGACAGCGCACGGTATCCTCTCTGTGTTGTAGGCCTTGATCTCCTCTTTGTACTCCTCGTAGTAGCGCTGCATGTACGACTTGTTGATGTTGCTGCCGCTCCTGTCGATGGTAGTAGCTGCCGATGAAGGCGTCTTCATTTCTGCGTCCATAATGATGGAAGTAGAGATTATATTAACAGCCTTCTGTTTGCCATATTCCAATGGCGAACGATCCAACTGGCTTGGTCATGTTCTTGACGATTGCGTCGGGACAGTAGCCCTCGTATCGCAGGTCGCCACACTCGGTGCCCAACTTGGGGTAGTCGAGCGATTTCTTGCCAGTCTTGACTGTCCATGGTTTGGTCGAGACGAATCCATCAGTGTGAACGCGCTTGATGCAGTCAATGTCGTCCTTTATTATCGTTCCAATCATCTTGCGACCACGAGAGATGATGAATGGCATGATCCGAGCGAATGGCGTATCGAACATGTCGGCGGTGATCAACGTCAAAGGTGATCACTGCTATGCATCCACCTCGAGGGCAACCAGAGAGGTCAACCTAATACTAACAAATGGACACTACAAACTAGACAAGGAAGGTACCTATGCAGGCAAGGGCATCAGATACACTCGACACAACGAGAGGGACGTCTACATCAAGCCAATCGTTTTCAAGTACCTCAAGGGCGAACAGGTCCAGCTCTATGATGACGGCGAGTACATGACCATCAGCCTGGAACATTTTATCAACAAGAAGAGACGCAAGTACCAAGACAAGTGCGAGTACATCCGCATCCTCTCAGGAATGACCCTGGAGGAGACATTGGACTCGTTCAAGGCCGACGCCGACGCGCTCAAGGAAGGTACTAACGGTATCATCGACATGTACACAACAGGACAGAACATCAACAAGGCAGCGATCAAACTGTTTATATCATACAACAAGACAGTCAAGCCAGAGCCAATCGATCAGAAGGAGGGCGAGTGGATATCCAAGTCAACCTTTGGCGCATTGATGTTTTCCATCCAGCATACAGGAGGTCTCTACATGTATGACGTCTGCAAGATGTATGGTGCGATCATGAAGAGCGGCGGCTTCATGATCCCAATCAAGTGTGGCGAGTTCCAACAACTGACCGACGAAGAGCTGAGCGCAATGAAATCAATACCATTCGGTATCTATCGCGCAACGATCAACGGCAAGCATGGAGCATTCAAGATTAACAAGAAGGATTACTACACTCACTACGACCTAATCTTTGCTAAGGAGCTAGGACTGACATTCAACTTGAAGACCGGCAACAAGGCCAATGCATTGTTATACGATAGCACATGCAGGATCAATGGCTCCATTCTTTTTGGCAAGTACATGGATCAGGTGCTCGCCTGGATCAAGGCAGGAGTCCCACGATCAAAGGAACTCTATCAACGACTCTGGGGCGCTCTTTGGCAAGCCATCCCGCCTCAAGTTCTTCCTCGAACTCAATGTCGATCAGAAGGTCTCGATCAAGCGGATCCCATAACTCGAGGAGAGACTCAACATCAAAAGTGCTCTGTCACCTGCTCTGGGTATGCGTCGTGGAGGCAGTAGTAGAGGCAGTGATTCCATTTGCCGTCGCAGCCGCCTGCCTTGCCCTTTGCTTGATGTACGTAGATGTAGAACGATTTGAATGTGTCGGGCTCTGGGATTGGAGCGCCATCATACTCATGAGGATCAAACATGATCATCGGCTCGCCTACCTTGGTGAATGTGCCTGATCGATATTGATGGTTGCCGTAGTCGAGCACGACCTCTATTCTTGCGTTGGCGCCGTAGCGTTGGAGCGTGTTGCTGTCTCGCTGAGCGATTCGTTCGATGTCTGCTCTGGTGTAGTTGCCTGTGAGCTTGATCTCGGTCACACCCGTCTTCTTCAGTCTGCCGCCAATGTCTCTTGTTGATCTACTCATTCTATATATTAACACTGAGATGTTAATTTATATCACTTTGAACCTATTTGTTGGCAATCAACTGTTTGTGGATGTAGCCTTGCTTGTGTCGATTGAGATTGGTACGACCTACCTCGAAGCCGCATTCACATCGTACCTTTTGCTTGATGTATGCTTTGTGACGCTCTCTGAACTCCGAGTTCTCGTCCCAATAGTACTCTTTGAATAATGACATGTTATATCTGTTAGAGATAAATTGTTTAATTTAATTTATTTGTTTGTGAGTTTCCTAAATGGGCGAACAGATCACCCTTCACCTCAAGGCACAACTTTGATTCTCACTTCTTTCATTATTCACACAACATCAACAAATACAACAACAATTACAACAATCCACTGGCCCATAGTTATCATCCATCATTGACAACTCTACATCATGAATATCAACGATTACAAGAACTGGTCCAAAGATGAACTTCTCCAATGGTTCACTGAGCAAACCAAAGAGGACGTGAAGGTTCAAGCGAAGATACTCCACCAGCAAGACATCAAAGGAGCTGATCTTCCTCTCACCAGCGCCAACTTGAAGGAAGTTGGCTGTACTCTTGGCCAGGCCAATGCTGTACTCCGAGTTCTTGAGCAACTCCCCCTTGTCCCAGCTGGTATGTACAAACAACATCGGCGCAATGTCTTCATTCAATACTAACATACACACTCAAGCCCCTGCTGCCCCTATAGGATCACAAGGAGGCCAAGCTCGTAAGTACAAATGAGAGTGAGTGATGTGTTTGCTTACTATGCTAACTTGTCACTTTTATATTAGACATACCATTCGCCCGACAACTCAAACCGAGTGTCCTATCAGAGCAGTCCGATGAAGGCATCACTATTGGATCACGCAATACACTCCCGAGACATAACACAGTGAAGAAGCTGTACGATTATGTTTCGAAACATCACTTGGTCCTCCTACGTGCCCCACCTTTCTCTGGAAAGACATCAATCACTCAGTTGCTGGAGCAGTTCATCATTGACAATCATGGCGATACATATGTCCGCAGATATTCATTTGTTTGGAGTCAGAAATCAAATGAGGATTAA